CAAGTTGGCCCAGATGACGTTAAAGAGCCCCGCACTTAAGTCGCCTATGCCCGCCTCTCCTCGCGTATTCAGCGGCAGTCAGAACAGGCAATCCCTTGCACTCGATACCACTTCTTCCGGGTTTCTTTCCCCAGACTCAGCTGCAATGGGATCCGGCAGTGATGCAGCTGCCACTCTCGCCCACCAACGCGCTAAGCTAAAGGCAAGCAATGCAGCCCACAGAATTTCTGCACCCATTCTTGCGTCTGGCGGCAGTGACCCGCGTACCTCATGGGGATCTGCACTCAGTCAAGTCGCAGAACAGAATATAAACTCTCCTGCACAGGAAATCGTCGTTCCGTCCGTCAGCAACAGCTCAAGGCCCAAAAGCACTGAGTTTAGTGGCTCTCTTGGAACGCCTCGCGCTGGAATTGAGGCGTTGTCCCCTATGGTTGGCGATAGCTGGGCCAGCAACGTCAATACACCCTTAATTCCTATGTTCTCTAAGGACACACATTCCCACATCGATGCGGCGGCTGCCAAGCTTAGTGACTGGAATGCTGGTACACGTGTTCCCCTCATGGCTGATCCGAAGTCCTTCCGGCGGCCATCGAGGAGTAACGGAAGTGCAAACGCCCCTGCTCCCGAGAGCAACGTACAAGCAAACAACAATATATATGATAATGAGGGCAATCTCGTTTCTCAGCAGCCATCCGGTCAGCGTCGGAACGTTAGTCAGGGTTCCAACGCCAACAACGCACAGCTTAACCTCGGCCAGCAGCCAAGCAACTGGAACAATACTAGGAGTCCTGCGTTGCCTCAGCCGAACAGGTTCGGTGGGGAAGATGTGAATGGCCCCTTGAATGGGCTGGGCATGAATGGTTTCAACATCGGTGGACTCGGTAGCCCCGGGCTCGGGATGGGTATGCCAAGCGCAGGGTTATTGGCGGGCATGAACCCCATGCAGATGAACATGTTGAACCTACAAGCTCAGATGAGCGCTATGGGGATGGGTTCAATGACGCCCGAGGCGCAGCTTCTTGCTGCGCAAATGGCTGCTGGATTCCCGCAGAACTGGCTAGGCATGCAACAAGCTGCTGCTATGCAGCAGAACAACAGTAGCAATAATAGTAACAGCAGGAGCCGTGGAGGAGGACGATCTCCTGGACTTCCGAAGACCGGTTCTTCTGGTGGAAATAGCGCGGGTAGTACAGCGAAGAAGGATGAAGAAGAGGTTGACCCCGCGTTGCTTCACGATATCCCGGCTTGGCTCAGGAGCCTGAGGTTACACAAGTATACGCCTAACTTTGAGAAGATGAAGTGGCAAGACATGGTCGTGCTCGACGAAGCGGGCCTGGAGGCCAAAGGTGTCGCCGCTCTTGGCGCAAGGAGGAAGATGTTGAAGACATTCGAGGCTGTCCGGAAGAAGATGGGCATTGAAGCTCCTGCTGGCTATTCCAATAACTCGGGTGGAGAAGAGTCTTAAAATGGATATCTTGGGAGTATGTATCTGCCGGGGCAGATTGAGGCATGCTACCCCGGTTGACTAAATCTTCACGGATGTTGATTATGATTCCATAGTTTTGTATGTGTTGACTCCATTTCGGTTCACCAATAGCCGCCGCTCGTATATGGACGAAAAATGGCTAGTCGTTATGCTTTCTCGTTACTGTAGTTCTGTACTCGCGTACAATCAATGGTCCGCTTGTTCATGCGATAGATACCCTGTTTTTGGTAGTCTAACTTTGTATCTACGGCCTCTAGCATTATTGTCTCACTTGACTAAAGTTATTCCTGAAGCTTGAAGGATCATTAGTACTAGTCACTGAGCATGTGTTTTGCAGGCTCCAAGCCAACGTGTGCTTTTTGCGTCATATTTACTCCGACACCACACCCGTGCCAATGTTAACGTTATGCTAACCTGCAACTAAGTACTACCACATCCAGGGACGGCCTTAGCTAAACTCTTGAACCAAAGATCTGAGTCTTGGTTTTTGAAACCTCCAGAAAGCCTGCCTTAGGACTGTCCTAATACCTGCCGCAGCGCTCGATCGGGGTGAAGATGCAGAACCGATTTTCTACTAGTGAGTCAGAGTGCCTTCTAGCGTTCGCTGAATGGTTCAGCCGTTCAGTCAGAAACTGAACTTTAAACATTTCAAAGCAATGTTCCTGGATTAACATTTCCGAGGTGCTTGTACTTCCCAGTGCTCATTGTTGGACATTCACTGACACGAGTATCCTTCTGGAAGTTTCAAAAGTCTGGTCAGCTGGGAACCAGGGTCGAGCATCGAGATCAACTCAGATGACCTACCATTCATGGCCAAGCTTGACTGTTCACAATTACTCCGCGTTTCAACTTACATAATTCCAGATCGAAAAGCTGCCTGCAAGACCATCTTCCTACCGCACTGGCCCCAGAGACTGAGGAGTTGAATAGCTTGGATGAAACAGAAGCTGCGACTATTCGACGTCAGCGAGGACTCCGAGGAGAGTTGCTGGCAGCCAGCAGATCAGGGAAACGCACAACAGGCTGCAATAATAAATATTAATGCCGATGAACCACCGAGGCCAAAGCGATCCCAAGTTCGAACAATTGGAGACCACGTTGCGGCTTGGCGTATGTACTTCGTACGCTAATCTAAGGGACTTGACTTTACATGCATGCGCCGTCTACGATCAACCCCAGTCCCACGGTGGCCTCAATTTTATTTATTTTATTTTGGGTTATCTTAGTTGCACTTTGTTTCGGAGTCCAAAGGAGCCCAGACCAACACTATTGTTGGAATTCTAGCTGAGTTTCAAAAATATAATTATGTACACACAAACTTCCTTGGGAAATGTTTCCGCTTGGATTTATAGTTAGCATGTCCTCAAGGGATCTGAGCACACACTTTTTGTGAGCCTCATCGCAGGGCAAGTTCAGGCCAACGTTGTTGATGGTATACACAAGGGACCGGAGATGATTTGGGTCTGCCTTTGTGATCGTAATGACAGTTCAATTCCTTGTGACAACACCATCTGGTGTTCAAATACTTGTTCTGCAATACTGCGCAACTCTGGAAGTTCAACTCATTGGGTATCGGGTAGCCAGGCAGAATGTCCCTGCATGAATTGTGCTTCACTAGCAGCATTTTTGTTGTAAGGAACTTTCAATCAATAACGCGATAATTGGGACATCATTTGGGCATCATGGCACCGTTGCTATTTGTTGGGCAAGGGTGATGAATTAAGTGCACAAATATTATATTGCAATAGAATGTAATACAGTTGGTGAACCAATCTGGTGATGGGTAGATGGGGCTCCAGGCAATGCATGCATCATGTACCACTTGAACATCCCCAGAGTCTCCTCTGCTCGGGATTTATTTAATTTAATTTAATTTCTTTTCTCATGAACGACCACAAGTATGGTTCAAGTGTCCGGCTATTTTGGATTGCGGCCAGTTAAACTTCTCATGGTATATAAACATCTTAAATATAAACTTGTCCTAATCATTGTATGAGTCCTAGTTATTTCTTTTGACTGTTCGACAAGACAGCGCTCGCGAGTCCAGCGAGTCTACAAGAGCAATTTAATTGCATTTTTGTGGGTTATATTCATTCCGGTAATATGCACGACAGCTACTGACAATGCATGTCATATGCTCGACTGTCTTTCTCTCATAACAACAACCAATCATTCCCCAGTTATTTCTCAGGAATCGCACCGGCCGCTAGACCTACAGACATGCCTCTTGATCGTGGTCCATCACCTTTTACCCTCTCCTGCCATAGACGTTTCGAAGCCATGTCTCCCCTGGATAATGAAGTTCACCCAGTCTTCCATGCTGGTAGAGTAGCAGTCATCACTGGCGCTGCGAGCGGTATTGGCAAAGCTGCTGCTATCGAATTGGCAAAGTGCGTGGGTGTCGTCGCTCTTGACCCCGCGAGCGAGATACTCACAAATGTGATATGTCTGCGCTGACGGTGTCGACTGTTGCATTCGGTGCTTTGGTAATTTGTACTGCACCTAGGCTCGGTCTGAAAATCGCAATGGCGGACGTCACAGAAGATGTCTTGGCCTTTGCTGCCAAAGAGGTCATTTCCATCGCTGGAGAGGCTAATGTACTTGTCATTCCGACCGATGTGTCGAACATCGACGACGTTGTGCGTTTGCGCGACAAGGTATATGAGGCATGGGGCGAGGTGAGCGAATCATACCATTATAAACAGAACCTGTAGTTCCCACTTCATTTCATTCCATCTTTCATCGGGCGAACATCTTGATCTGATCATTATTGGCAGGTCGCAGTTCTCCTCAACAATGCTGCAATAGGTCCCGACAGCAAATCATGGAAGATGCTGGACAACTGGAAGAATACCTTCGACGTCAACCTTTTCGGGTCCGTCATTTGTTTGATAAGAGCGTGGGCATAGTTTAACTTACAGCGTTTAGTGTGGTCAATGTGCAGCAGACTTTTGTGCCAGTTGGTGTCCCCCTCTGCGTTTATCTATATCATGACGCTGATGGTAATGTTATTCTTATTTTTGCCAGTCCATGCTGCACCAGGAGAACCAAGCTGTAGTCATCAACACTGGATCCAAGCAAGGGATTACTAATCCACCGTAAGTTCGAGCAACACACCGTCGTTGGATAGATTGCTTACCTATCACGATATCCTATTCGCGATACTGTGTGGTACAGTGGCAACCCAGCATACAATGCCGCAAAGGCCGCCGTGAAGAGCCTGACGGAAGGACTCGCATACGAGCTTCGCGAAAGTCCAGCGTGCAACGTCACAGCGCATCTTTTCATGTGAGCTTTCTCGGATTCTTTTGGATTTATCCACACGAGGCTCACTTTGGCTTTCACAGCCCTGGATGGACCTTCACAGGTTTGACCGCCCGTAACGGTGGCGAGAAGCCTGCTGGTGCCTGGACAGCCGAAGAAACAGTTCTTTTCATGCTCGACCATGTTCGTGCTGGCGAGTTTTACATCCTCTGCCCTGACAACGAGTCTCACCACCAACTCGATCAACTACGCATCATGTGGGCTGCGGCGGATGTCGTTGAGGGCAGGCCTGCACTGAGTCGTTGGCACAAGGACTGGAAGTCCCTTTTCGAAGAGTACGTGCGTGACGGGCTGGCTAACATGGAGTGAGGAGAGGCACAATGATGAATTATACCGATCATGTTCGGGATGAATGCGGAAGGAAAAGACGTGTTCAGAGTGTTGTTGTTCTTATCGCTATTGTTTGTACCATGTATAAACGTTGTTTCTATATGTAAGTAAATGATATCAACATTCCGTTCGAGTTTACTTGTTTGGTGGCAGATCTTATTCACATGACTTGTGGGTTCTACTTGGAACCACATTCGCAGAACTTATCAACCACAGTCATGTCCTGTGTGTCTCCCGTGTCTGCACCTTTGTTGATGCTGTAGGACTGTTGCTACGTGTTCGCCGTTTAAGACTGATGGGGAGATCCCCACCTCTGCCGCGCGCTCAACACTTCCGATGGAACTGGCCAATCGGGGATACTGGCGTAAGTTTACCAGCCGAGTCAGCTTCATTATTTGAACTTGGAACGTAGATCGCATCTGTCTGAAAGCAGCGCTGTGCCACGCGTTGCACCGCGGGTAAAGTGGCACTCAGTTTTCAAGCAACGGCGCTTCCCGAGTATATAAATTTATTCACCGCATTTGAATGGTGATGCAATTGAATCCGCAATGCCACCTCAAGCTATGACGAATTGGTGAACCTTAACTCGTACGAATTTGCGACAGTACTGTCGTGGCAGACATGGTTTCGGCGATGCGAATGACATCGAATGGCTGTAGAGCCAAAATGCCCAAAATTCTACACACGGTTCGTATAAATACGCTGTTCACCCTCATCGTCCATTGATTTATCTTTTTGACAACTGGCCACGACCTTCCTATAGATCATAGACCATTAATCACCACTAAACGACGTGCTCGACGCCGTCCTGCTCGCCCTAGTTCAGGCATTCACCGTGACTCCAACATGACTCTCCTCAATGGACATGACTCCGGTGCGTCCACCGAGAAATCCTTTCATCGCGTCAGGAACCTGCCTGGCTATACTACGCCTATATTCAATGGCAAAGATGAACAACGCGCCAAGGTAAAAGTCGATGTTACTGCTAAGGTGCTGTAATCTGTATCTTTTGAGGTCAATCCTCACTGCGCATCGCGTCATCTTAACATGATGATAGGGTTTCATTCCTCGTGAGCTGGTCGAGAACGAGGTTGACTGGTTCTACTCTCAACTCGGCATCGATGATACCTACTTTCAAAATGAATCGCCTTCTGTGATATCTGATCACATCATCGCGCTCTTTGGTGCCAAGATTCTTGCATTCACGAAGCACGATTTCAGCAAGCTCGTCATCGACCTCGAGAAGATCGACGAGAATGGAAATGGAGCAACTTTCATTCACACCAGTCTGCCGGGCCTGACTTCTACGGAGGGCCCTGGTGCTAATTGCGAAACAAGGTGTGTTGACACCTAATAGCTCCCAATGACCGGGTGAATACTGTTTGTGATACAGAATTGATTCTCTATATCTCGACAAATCAACCCCGTCAGAATGTTATCGTCTTGAAACTTACCGATCAGTCGGATCCATATCAGCAACAGCAGGTAAACAGTTGCGCTGTTACTTCATTACCAAGTGCAACTTCCCTTCCCCACCCCCACTCCCAACTCGGGCGGATGGACGTACCGATATCCGCACTGTCTCCGACACTGCTTTCCTTGAGAGAGCAAGCCAGCATACTCTTCGGGTGTACCAGAAGATCATGTGGCAAGCAGAGAGTCGCTATGGTCCTGTAATGGAAGTATATGAAGTTGAAGGCACTCGTGAGAGGCGTCTTGTCATTGGATACAAAATGGGCAGCACTTCCCGGTTCTTCAGGTGTGTTAACCCATATGTAACAGCACGGTGGTTACATCCATTTGCAGCGCTCTTTCGCACCTCTATCACTTTTACCAGCTGTACTCGGCCCGAAAGTATGTAGAGCAGTTCTCCAATGGGTTCACGATAATCTCTCTGTACCTGAATCCGATGCCTAACTCAATCGGCGCGCCGATCGAGCACTCCATATTCCAGGTGATGAAAGAAGCATCTCTTCTGTACTGCCTCCCCGATAATCCCTTTTTTCGTGATTCCGTCAACTCTGGACATGCTGTGCAAGAGGCGACCTATGCCTGTATGTCCAACATTTGTCTAGACAGGAATTTAATTCATTCTTCATTAGATTGTGGTTGGGTTTTTGCTCAACACTTCTGCAACCGCCTGGGTCCCGCATACCACCACCTCAGGAATATCTTGGACGAATCAAACCCCTCGCACGCTGAAGTTCTCAATGATATCAAAAGACGCTTCAGAGAGGAAACTTTCACGCGCGACAGCATCGCTCAAGTTATCCACGGACATTCGGAAATCGTACGTTGTCAGTTTTGCTTGGTTTCCTGTATGAATAACCTCTAACAGATCCGCCTCCTGTACGTCAACTTCGCCATGGTACACTATCCAACTGCGGACCAGACGTCACAGTTGCGGTGAGTATGGTAATTTGCGTTGGGTAGCTTTGACAAGCAACACCCAGTCCTACTCTCTCCTACCAGCGTCTTCACACGACGCAGCCCCTGTCCGACTCTGAATTGTATGATAAAATCAGACGTGCAGTCCCGAACAAGCAAGATCTACAAGTTCTCGAGAGCTTTCTTATTTTCAACAAGTGAATTCATAAAGAGGTTGATTTATTGGGAGCTGACCTTGCTTAAAGGCACGTCCTGAAGACAAATTTCTATCAACCAACCAAGGTCGCACTATCATTCCGCCTCGCCCCCAATTTTTTACCCCAGGGTGAATATCCAACACCGCTTTTTGGGATGTTTCTCGTCATCGGAAACGAATTCCGTGGCTTTCATATTCGCTTCAGAGATGTTGCCCGTGGCGGTATTCGTATAGTCATGTCGAGAAACGAGGAGTAGGTTCGTCTCTTTTGAAGGAGCTTCTACGACTGAGCAGCGGGCGATAGCGACTACATGATCAACAAGAGGATGCTGTTCGATGAGAACTACGGATTGGCTTCCACCCAATCTTTGAAGAACAAGGACATTCCGGAAGGAGGCGCCAAGGGAACTATTTTGCCTTCGTGCGTGATTTTCTGTGTTCTTTTGGGTGTTATTTCACTTGTCACGCAGTCTTGGAGCACCACCTAGACGCTGCTTCGAGAAATATATTGATGTAAGCGTGCATTGTAATATGAGCTGATAAATTATTGATTGTCATTCCAGGCTATCATCGATCTCCTTATCCCTAGTCATAGTTCAGGAATTCAAGAACGTCATGTTGACTTGTATGGTGAAGAAGAGTTGTTGTTTTTCGGGCCTGATGGTGAGATCTGTTTGCAATGACTCGTTGAGATGACTGACATCTCGTGTAGAGGGTACAGCAGACATGATGGATTGGGCAGCATTGCACGCTCGCGATCGTGGTGCAGAGACATGGTGGAAAACGTTCACCACTGGCAAGAGTGCTGAGCTCCTGGGCGGTGTTCCCCATGATGCGTATGGAATGACGTCGTTGTCTATTCGTCAATATGTTCTCGGCATTTATAAGCAGCTTGCACTGAGGGAGACGGACATCACAAAAGTGCAGACTGGTGGTCCTGGTACGTTTCGTTTTCGTTTTCGCTCTTCATGGTTTCTTGTCCTTGACGCAAGATTTTGCAGACGGCGATCTTGGTTCAAGTAAGTCGTGATATGCGGTTGACCCATGGAGTGTGTTCATTAACCACCCTGCAGATGAGATACTCTTGAGTTCTGACAAGACCATTGCTATTATTGATGGCAGTGGCGTTCTTGCCGACCCTGTGGGTATCAACCGCATGGAGCTCATCCGCCTCGCAAAACTACGGCTACCTGTGTCTCACTTCGATAAGACCAAACTGAGCAAGAACGGGTACCTGGTCAAAATAGAGGAACAAGATGTCAAGCTACCATGTCCGTTGGCTTTCTTAAAGTTCGATTTTATCTGACATAATCTGTGCTTAGCCGGAGAAGTCGTTCTCGACGGTAACGACTTCAGGAATGGTGCTCACTTCCGTTTCAAGGCAGATCTTTTTGTGCCTTGCGGTGGACGGTATGTTTGCGTCACCACCTGCATCAAACACCAGCTGACGATCATTTAGTCCTGAAGCTGTGAACGTTTCTAATGTTGCTGCTTTGACGGATACAGAAGGCAAACCCCACTTCAAGTACATCGTCGAGGGTGCAAATTTGTTTTTCACTCAGCAGGCACGGTTGCACTTGGAGAAACGAAGGGTCATCATGTTTAAGGACTCCAGTGCGAACAAGGGTAAATTACCTTACTATCACTTGTTTGATGATGATGTTGACCCTACTTCAGGCGGTGTGACCAGCTCCTCGCTCGAAGTGCTCGCAGGTCTCGCTCTCACGACACAGGAATACATCGACCTCATGATATTCAAGGACGGCAAGCCGTCAGACTTTTACCGAAACTACGTTAAAGATATTCAAGCCAAGATTGTTGAGAATGCCGCCGCAGAGTTCCACTGCATTTGGCAAGAGCACGCCCGCCTCCAAGGTGCCAAGCCTCGGACGCAGATTTCGGACGAGCTCTCCATCATGCTCAACGAATTGCACACCAAGCTCGAACATTCTGACCTCTTCAAGGATATTCCGAGCCGCAAAGGTGTAATGAGACGCGCTATACCTACCACCCTGGTGGAGCAGGTCGGTCTCGATGTCCTACTGGAGAGGCTTCCCGAGCCATACCAGCGCGCTCTATTCTCGAGCTGGGTTTCTTCGCATTTTGTGAGTCTTATTTCATGTTACATGAGCACCATCCTAACCTCTCACAGATCTATAGATACGGCATTAACAGTTCCACTATAGATTTTTTTCATTTCGCTCGGGATCTCTCACGAGAATGATTAGTTCTTTGGGCGGGCCGGTGTTAATATTGGTACAGCGACTTACGTGGTAGTATTTTCATAGTAGAGAATGAACGGAGCAAGCTCTCAAGCACCACTGCTGGAAGGAAAGACTCGTAAGTAGCTAAAATTTAAAAGCCACGCACCGGGGAATATTGAGAATTTTTGCTTTGCGCACACGATCATACCATCAGTGTGATTGGATGTGTGCAGTTTGAATTCTCGCGATCGCAAGAATCAGATTTCAACGTTCAACTCTGCTTACAAAGTCAATTCCCCGAAACTGAGTGCAGAAAAGCACCTTCGGCCTGGCACTTCGGAAGTGAGATCATGTATGACAGATGGGGAGTACATCTAATTCACTATGGGCCGTGAACCTGTGAACACAACCAAGTAATGGACAGAAGGGCAGCGGGCACTGGTCGAACATTAATCGAGTTTCATTGATTGCAGATTCTCCGTTATGGCCGGACATGCAGACTTGGCTGAAGAGGTGATTGAATATGCATAGTTATGATAGAATGATGCATACATATCCAAGAGATATCGCAGCTGAGAAGATGTACGAGCTCAACAATTTTTGATTGCAACATGACCGATCGTCCTGTAGAAATGACTCAATGGCTAGATTATGGGTAATTGCAGAACTCTGCGTACCCAAGGCCTAGAAGGATTCCGCTCGATGAATAAAGGAAAGCTGCTTGCACACCTGAGGCCTGAGGGCCGAATTAATATTGCTTCAGGCAAAAATGGCGTCAGCTTCGCGATATCTATATCAGCTTTTGGCTTTGCGAATCCCTCCTCTTCTTCAGAGTCTCAGTCTTCGTGATGTTTCTTCGTCTGACATTTTGTGTGATCAAGGCAGGAGGTCGACGCTTTTCAGCTGTCACTCGAAAAAGTCTCAAATCTAATAGTATTTAAATAATGAATCATGCTGCCATTATCAAACAACATCGGAGGCGATCTTATTACATACCATCATTAGTATCTTCAAGTTCAAGCAAGTGTGAAGAGAGCGCTGCCGAAAACTCCAAATCCAACGAGCAATATGTGCTGAGGGCGAACATCTCCTCAGCTACTTTGCTGCTCTGAAGTGGCGATCGGGGGGTAAAGCTATAGTGCTAAATTCATGCATGCTGACTTTGTGTCCAGATTTGTGAGGAACTTAAGAAGATAGGCATGGAGCACCGGGCACCTTCAGGGAGCAGTCGGGTAAGGAGAGGCAGTTAAGATGTTTTTAAAGAGGATATCGGAGTGAACGAGCATTGGCAAGGTTGTAGCAGGGCACATGGAAAGTGAGCGAGGACTCCATTGTAGACTGATTGTGACTGGTGGAATGTGACTCGTGATCAGAAACGAGGCTTGGGCGCTTCAGTTGCACAGCCTATGCTAGAAGCTGTGAAGTGAACACGAGGATGTCACATTTGAATCGTACCGCTCCAACGTGCACTCTTGACCTAAACGCCCTTCGTCTCTTGGTGCCAATACGTCCTGAGCAGCTGAGGAACGTATCATTGTAAGTGAAGATTTGAAATTTGCTGGATGAAAGCTGAGACGGCACTGTGCCTAGATGTCTTCACCCATCGTTAAAAGGAAGAAGGCATCAGCGATCACACCCTACCAGAAATTGAGGGACGCTTGATCTGCAAGCGCCATACATTTGCCAGGCGGAGAACGGATAATGACTTGTTCACCGGACGGCACGCTGCGGGTATGGAACTTGAAGAGTGGGAAGCAGATAGGAGACGACTGGCGGGACGGAGAAACCAGAGTGTGGACCATAGCTTTGTCTCCGGACGGGAAGAAAGTGGTCAGCGGGAGTGATGATGGTGGAGTGAGGTTGTGGGACATCGACACGGGCAAAGTGATTGGGAGATGGATGGGGCATACAAATACAGTGACTTCTGTCTGTTGGAGTCAAGATGGTCAGCGAGTCTTGAGTGGATCTGACGATGGGACTGCAAGGCAATGGGATGTAGAAAACGGACAGACGATCCTCACACCAATCAAGGCAGCTGGGCACTATTTGTTCGCAGTCGTCTACTCCCCAGACATGACCTTGTTTGCGACTGGTGGAGCCGAACGCCCTCTTAGCAAAGATAACAAGCCCACGATCAGAATCTGGAATGCCAACACAGGCAAACTTGTCGCTACTCTTGAAGGACACACATATTGGGTGCGGTGCCTGGTTTGGACCCCAGATGGAACAACGCTTATATCCGGGTCATCTGATTGCTCGATCAGGACATGGAATACTTCAACTTGGAAGCAGATCGCACTGTTGGAAGGGCACACTTCCCATGTCGAATTCATTGCCATATCTCCCAATGACCGCATTCTCGCAAGCGCATCATATGACGAGACAGCGCTATTATGGAACCTCGATAACAACCAGCCTATCAGTTCGCCCCTTCAGCATCCAGATGACATAACTTCTGTGTCGTTTTCGGCAGATGGAAAGCTACTGGCCACTGGCTGTGAGGACCAAAATGCGTACACTTGGGACGTTTCTGCGATTGTAAAAGAAGCTGGTCTCGACGAACTTCTGTTGGACGAGCGCGACAAGTCGGTCCTCGCTGTACGTGACACTTCTATAATCAGATTTCACTATTTATTTAGACATGCGTAGGCTGAGGCTACTACACGACATCCAGTTCGGCCATTCGATCCCTCTGTACGTGACGCTCTGATGCTCAGTTCTGATTGCATTTAAACCTATCACTTTCAGGCTGATGCTACACGACGTCCAATCCGTCAGCCAATCATCGTCCCTCAGCGCCAGATATACCAAGGATTTTTTGACGACTCACCAGATCACGCTCGCGTACGTCTTTAATGTCTAATCCAGTGCTGTTTTTCCTGACCTCAATGTTTTTAGGTTTCAGCACGACATAGCTTCCACCCTCGATCGTGGGCATCGCATGTGAATACTCTTAGTGTCCAATTTTCATCTTTATTCCGCCCCACGCACTCCGATGCCCATGAGACATCATCCCGACCCCACCCTTTCCACTGGGTTCAAAATCGGCTTTCTGGAAGACAAGCCGGTGAAGACATCGGGCTCCGCGCGCATCCCTCAGCGGTCGTCGATGTTCCATATGCCAAGGGCAAGCGTGTATGTCATCTTTGTCTTTCTCGAATATTCAAAACTCATCTCATACAACACAGAGAAACGCATGTGCAAGAGAAAGACGGATGAAAATAATTCCTTTGAAACCTGGGAACCTCGCCGCAAGCACCTCACGCCCTCCCAATAGCAACGCTGCACAACACTCCAATGGTGCGACCCAAGCCCACTCTTCGCAAGCACAGGTCGCTACCTCCACTTCCACAGCACCTCCCGTCGCTAACACAAGTTCGCACACAAATCCTCATGCGACGATAAACAACGCTGGACGCTGGACTCGCTTCTGGCTGTTTTTTTGTTGTACCTCTCCCAAGTATACCCATGATCATCAGTGATATATCCCATCCTTTTTATTGTCCTTTATGAAGATTTCTCCCGTTTCATCCTCCTGTACATATAATGGACGCTTTACATACCACGGTTGATTCCATTATTTGTTATTGCCGACAAGCCTTCACTGATGAGGAAAGCGAATCATCCCAATAAATATATGTACTACTCAGATGAAAAATACTTGCATTTGTGTGCTACAGAAATGATACATATGTAGATTGGCTCCGGTCACATCAAGGGGGTAGCGAATTCCAACTCCAACAGCGTCCCGCGCTGTACACTTCCCCAACCTGATGGGAAGTCAGCGAATGAGTATGCTGAGTTCACAGAAGCACTTGCCTACAAGCTGCCGATGCTTCTCAATAGCGTGACCTTTTCTCTAACTCCAGTACATGTGAACGAAGTCAATTAAATCTTCGCGAGATTCCTTTTCACGCTCAATACCCACCCACCAGTCGACGTTGGACCAGCAAGAGCTCATTCTTGGTGACTTTCGATACCTTCGTTTGTTTTTTGTCCTCTGTACGAGCGCCCAGCAAACAACGGATGAGGAACAAACTGATTTCAAGCTCTGAATTCTCTTTAGAACAAGGTAGCATAATATCGAAGACGAGCATGCTCGCTGCTGTAGACCCTCGGGGAGTTTCCCGGCTGCGCACAGCACTTGACTAACGACACGATCCGTTTTGCACAGCGTAGGATCAATCTTGGTCCTAACGCCGATCAGTCCTCCTGGAACTGCAAACTGCAAGTGATTGTTCTTGGCATGCAAAGAAACGATCCTGCTGAAAACCAGCTTGTAGCGATAGGTACTTTACGATGTATTCGTTGACAGCGTCGATGTTGTATTCAGTTGCGCAAATATCGTGTCTGTTACGAGAATGAGTACAAATATAGAATAGCCCATGCCACCAAGGACGCACCCTCTGACGAATGCAGGGATTCCTTTTGGTGCGCAAGAGCCTCGGCTTCCTTGAGCAAGTCGACCTTGTTCTGCAAATTATCAGATTTTCCAGCTTCATGATTTCGACTGTGGCCAAGTACATGTTTCGTTTCCTGCGATCAGAAGAAGAGCAGCGTCCATGACTGCGGCACTGTTGAGCATAGTAGACTATCGTGACCAAGAAAGTCCACGAAGGAAACATGGCGAATGAGTTTCATCCTGTGACCGCATCCTGGCCGTTCGCACGGACAATGATCTTCCTTGCCTGAGCGATACGATCGATAGCAGCCTGGGCGAAGACATGTCGTTGTAGATCTATGATGGTAGATTAAAGACATGTCAGATGCGAATCAGAAGAAACATCTTTTGCATTTGCATAATCCAGCTTGTTCGTGACATCACAAACGAGCTCGATTTTGAATCGTACAGTCATGACACCCGATATGACCTTCACCACTGTCGATTATGTTTGCATCATTGTTGCAGAGATAATTCAATGGTTAAATTATGGGTACTTGCAGAACTCTGCGTACACAAGTTAATTGTAGCCTGGAATGATTGCGCCCGATGAATTACTTCAAATAAAGAAAAGCTGGTTGCGCACCTGTTTTGATATTGCTTCAGCCAAAAGTGGGATCAGCTTCGTGATATCGGCCTCTGCGAGTCCCTCCTCTTCTTCAGAGTCTGATTCTTCATGATATGTCTTCGCTTGACATTTTGTGTGATCAAGGCAGGAGGTCGACACTTTTCAGCTGTCACTCGAAAAAGTCTTAAATCAGAATAGTATTTGAATAGTGGATCATGCTGCGTGTATCAAACAATATCAGAGGTGATATTATTGTCATCATTAGTCCCTTGGGAGCGCTACCGAAAAGTCCAACGATAATGAGCAATGTCTTCTGAGCACGAACATCTCCTTGGCTACTGTGTTGCTCGGAAGTGGTGATCCGGCGATGAATCTATAGTACTAGATTCATGCATGGTGGCTTTGTATCCAGATTTGTGAGGAAAGATGAAAGGTGAGTCGTGCTTTAAGCAGATGAGCATCGAGCACGGGGCACCTTCAGGGAGGAGTTGGGTAGAGAAAGGCAGTTTGAGATTTTTTTAACAAGGATAGCGGAGTGAACGTGCGTTGGGCAAGGTCGTAGCAGGGCACATGAAGGACCGAAGATTGTGACTGATGGAATGTGACTCGTGATCAGAAACGAGGTTTGGGCGCTTCAGTTGCACAGCCTATGCTAGAAGCTGTGAAGTGAACACGAGGATGACACAGTTAAACCGCACCGATTCAAACTTGCAGTGCACTCTTGACCTAAACGCCCTTTGTGTCTTGCTGCCAATACGTGGGGAGCACCTGAGGAACATACCATTGTAAGTGAAGACTTTGGACGTTGTTGGATGAAAGCTAAGACGGAGCTGCGCCAAGATGTCTTCAGTCGAAGTTAGAAGAAAGAAGCCATCAGCGATCACACCCTGCCAGAAATTTCAGGGACACACCGAGTGGGTCCATGGCGTCATACATCTGCCAGGCGGACAACGGATAATGACTTGTTCATTGGACGGCTCGCTGCGGGTATGGAACTTGAAGAGTGGGAAACAGATAGAAGACGACTGGCTAGACGGAGAAACTAAAGTGTTTACCACAGCGTTGTCTCCCGACGGGAAGAAGGTGGTCAGCGGGAGTGAGGATGGCGAAGTGAGGTTGTGGGACATCGACACGGGCAAAGTGACTGGGAGATGGATGGGGCATACAGGTGGAGTGAGGTCCGTCTGCTGGAGTCGAGATGGTCAGCGAGTCTTGAGTGGATCTCTCGATGGGACTGCAAGGCAATGGGATGTAGAAAACGGAGAGACGATCCTCACACCAATCAAGGCAGGGCACTACTGTTTGTTCGCAGTTGTTTGCGACTGGTGGAGCCGAACGCCCATGGGAATATACTGGAGATAACAAGTCCGCGATCAGAATCTGGACACACAGATTGTGTGCGGTGCCTGGTTTGGACCTCAGATGGAAAAACGCTTATATCCGGGTCATATGACAACTCGATCAGGACATGGAATACTTCAACTTGGAAGCAAATCGCACTGTTGGAAGGGCACGCTTCCCATGTCGGTTCCATTGCCATATCTCCAAATGCCCGTATTCTTGCAAGCGCATCACAGCGCTGTTATGGAACTTCGACGACAACCAGCCCATCAGTTTGCCCCTCCAGCATCAAAGTGCCATAAATTCTGCGTCTTTTTCGGCAGATGGAAAGCTACTGGCCACTGGCTGCGATGACGAAAACGCGTACACTTGGGACGTTTCTGCGATTGTAAAAGAAGCTGGACCAGCGCGACAAGCCGGTCCCCGCTGTACGTGACACTTTTATGATCAGATCTCACTAATCATCTAAACATATGTAGGTTGAGGCTACAGGACGTCCAGTCCGTCAGCCAATCATCGTCCCCCAGCGCCGGATACCCCAAGGGTTTTTTGACGACTTACCAGATCGAGCTCACGTACGTCGTCAATCCAGTGCTGTTTTTCCTGACCTCAATGTTCTTAGATTTCGGCACAACATCGTCTCCACCCTCGATCGTGGGCATCGCATGTGAATACCCTTAGTATCCGCTTTTCCTCTTTATTCCGCCCCACACACTTCGATGTCCATGATACGTCATCCCGACCCCACCCTTTCCACTGGGTTCGAACTCGACTTTCTAGAAGACAAGGCGGTGAAGATATAGAGCTCGACGAGCGTCCCTCAGCAGTCGTCGATGTTCCCTATGCCAAGGGCAAACGTGTATGCCATCTTTGTCCTCCTCGAATATTCAAATTCAAATCCCATCTCATATCATGTAGAGGAACGCATCAGCAAGAGAAAGACGGATGAAAATTATCCCATTGAAACCTAGGAACCCTGCCTGCAAGCACCTCACGCCCTCCTAATAGCAACGCCGTACAATACTCTAATGGTGGCACTCAAGCTCAATCTTCGCAAGCACAGGCTGCTGTCTCCACCTCTGCCGCACCTCCCACCGTCGCTAACACAACTCCAAACACTAATTCTCATGCAACGATAAACAACGCTGGACGCTGGACTCGCTTCTGGCTACTTTTTTGTTGTACCTCTCCCGAGTATACTCATGACCATCAGTAACATATTCTGCCTGTTTTCTTGTTTTTTTTTTCCGAAGATCTCTCCCATTGCAAAACGCTTGTATCAATGTGCTGCAGAAATTATACATATGTAGATTGGGTCTGGTCACATCAAGCGCAAGAATGTGGGACGTGAATAAGTCCAACTCCAGTTCCACGCTTCACACTTCTCTAACCTGACGGGAAGTCAGCGAATGAGTTTGCTGACTTCACAGGAGTCGGCTTGATCGTGATGTTACGGATGAGCTCGCTTTTGAATCGTACTGTCATGACGCCCGATATGGCCTTCACCACTGCCGAGGACCTATGACAGATTTCCCGGAGCGACTATGGTAGCTAGTGAGTGTATGAGGCAACGAATACACCCTTTCACCCGTTTAGAGAAGTCAAATGGAAAGGAGACAAACCCCTTGCGCTGGTCCAAAAATAAATCAGACAGAACATAATGGCATCGACGCAAAGTGCGAAGACCATACTGAATTGCTCCGCAGCATATCATAGACTATGAAGCCGGAGCACTGAGCTGCAATGCTTCACGCGCAGCTTCCCTCTTCGCAGCCTGCAGCGTCCACATCCACTTCAGATCACGCTCCACCTTTTCCTTCCTCGCGCGCTGCCTTCGTTTGTTCAAATGACTCCAATCTTCCCCAACACCTACGTCAGCTGCCGTGAGCCGAGGCAATCCTAGTAATTCCGACTTCGAGAGAGTAGAGGCGGGCAAGGGCTTAGGTGGAGGAGGGGGCGTAGCCATTCTCCACAACCAAGTGTTTCTCGGTGCAGCGAGCAACACAGCCTGTTCCTTTCGCGCAGCTTTGGTCACCGTTTGAAGCCGGTGGTCGATTTCCGCTTGCGAGAGCGTTCGCTTGGCGCAAAACTTTTCGACCTTTTTTGAATTCACTAGCTCCGGGAGCACCACTCTCTTTAGATACCTGTGTCATGAGATTGAGTGCATCGACCAAGACTTATATCAGTGTCGACTCACTGTAGAGACCGTACAGGATGCTCTGGATGGGGCGGTCGAGTAGAAGGTTGCCTTGTCATTCCACGCACGACAGTTGGATTCTCTTTCTTCGGCACATTGTGCTGTGGTGCCGACGCATCTGGGACAAGTTGAATCGCTTTTTGTTTCAAAGCCAAATTGTAAATGTCCTTGGTCGACAAAGGCGTTGTCGATGAAACGACTATACTGCGCACGAGCTCACGCGCTGAAGGCAAGCAACGGCGCGGCCACAGGTTCTTTCGAAATGAAGAAATGGTGGCCATGATTTTGATGTACAAGAATTGCACACTGAGCTAACAATGGGGTCTGCTTACTAAGACGAGAGGTTTGGGAAGCAGAATCACATCCCTGCGACCAAGTTGCTGGAATTCATGACGATTCTATGCACTGCATCAATGCTAAAATAACTGAGGAAGCTTTGGAGAAAAACTACGTTCGCGCTTCCCACTCACTCTCACCTGCACACTCAGCACCACCTACTTGATGACCACCATGTGTTACTGGTGATAACAACTGGCAGTGTAGCATCTATCAAAGCTCTATCATTACCGCAAATCTTCTTCAAGTCTTGGTAAAATCCTCCTCCTGTTAGTGGTCACATTGCATGTGCAAATGTAGTGCCAGAATGTCGAAGTAAAGGTGGTTGCAACGAAAGAGTTGCTTGCGTCCTACGACCGTACGGACGTGGTCAAGACAGGTGGACGAGTGGTTTGTGAGTACACGATGTTTCAAGATGAATTTCTGCATCTCAACGTCCATGCCAGGGATCACACAAGGGGAACCAACCCTGCATATCGAGTTGATGAGATGGGCTGACATGGTCCTTGTCACTCAAATACGCTCTCACGAATCGCACACGGACTCTGCGATAACCTCTTAGTATGTCCTGCCGCCTATTCATATCTCACTCGGTGATAATCTTCTTTGTTAGACCTCTTTGCTTCATGTGCTGGCACCTACGAAGCCGACTTACATATCCACAGCAATTAACACGCTCATATACGAAGATCCGCTTACAGCAGAGCATGTGCGCATTGTCCGGAATGTTGCGCGGTATCAAATTGTTGGGCCAATTGCAAAGGATATCATTATGTGGGGACGTCGGTACGCTTTTTGTTTTCGCTGTAGATGACTCGGTCCTTTCTCGAAGGACTGGGTGCCATGACAGAATGATGTGATGTTGTGAAGATAGTGGTGAATCAAATGAAATCTAGCTTTGTCTTTCCCAGTCACACGACTGATCATACGGCTTCCATTCTGCCACAGTGCCCGAGTTTTGTTTCAGTGCTGCCGTCTTCAGGATGTGGTTTGCAGACCTTCGTAGCGCAGGTGCCCATAAGATGTTGGTCGGATTTTTACAACACGCCTCTCGAAAGGCGGTTGCTCTTACAGGATCGTGAATCGAGGAGTATTTGTATTATTTCTTAATATTAATGGGTTGTATAGCAACAAGATACACGACAGCATGCTATTCGAATACGTCATGACTGAGGTGAAAGGCGATAGAGAGTAGTACAGGAATATTATTTCAAATCTTGAGCACGCGATAACACGCTAGCCTATCTATTAGGTTCGAATACGTCATCATCATATTTTACGAAAGGCGGTAGTAGATCCTATATGAGATTAGATCCACTATAGCAACCACCTCGAGCTCCATACCATCTCAGAATGTCTCGAGGCTGCAAGAGTTCAATCGCGCACAATCACAGTGCGCATGCGCTCGAGCTGCGACCTTCCATGCGAGCAACAACGCGAACGGCCCGCCCGGGCACGGTTTTCCTGATCCGATGCCAGTGACTACTTTGAATGCGCGCGAAACTCAGCGGACACCACTTATATGCTAACCACCACACCTAGCAGATCAGGAACACCTCTTCCATTTCTATCGATCTGCCCAAGGGAGACTCTTGTGGGAAAATCATCAAATGTTGCCAACAAGTTTACCTCCACTGAGTAAAGGTGGTCATGCAACACACTGCAAAAGATGCTTGTCTGGCTTGCCATCTTCCCAAGTGGATATTGATCCGGCCAAGTACCTTATCCAATGCTGATCTTGATAGTAGCTATTCTAACGCGATTGTCACAGGCTTGCACTATCCTTTTACTGCTTAGGCTCCTTGGATGTTTCGGGCGAACTCGAAAAGAAGACTAGGGGTTGGGAAAGAGAACAATGGAAGGAATGGATATGGAGTCAACAGACTAGTGAGCAAATTCTGAGATTCAAATGTGTTGGTGAATCGAGCACAGTCACCAGGCGGACATTATGGAACCGGCTTCCGAGCAAGCTCTTACATGACTGCAAAACACTCGGTCAGAATCGGCCCTCGTTATATGTAGACATAATTGATTTCCAATCTAAAGACAGAGGAACATTCGGTCCATGATAGTCCTCAGATCATCATGACTTATACTGCCCTTCTCTCGCTGGCCATATTGCGCGACAACTTTTCACGTCTTGACAGGAAGGGTCTCCTGAAATTCCTCAGGTCCTGTCAGAACACTGATGGAAGGTAGGCCCCTACACCATGTCGGCACTTTCAAGGTACAGACCAAGGATCCTAGTTTTTCTTCTGAGCCTTTAGGAGGCGACTCTGATCTACGCACGACGTTCTGTGCTTTCGCCATAAGCACCATGCTTGACGACTGGTCAGGGATGGATGTTGCAAGTGCTCTCCAGTTCATCTGTTCGTGCCGGGTAAGTTTGCGACAACTTCATATCAGGGGCTGTCCTAATAGCCGTTCTTAAGACATATGAAGGAGGTTACGGGCAATCGCCCTTTGGGGAGGCTCTAGGTAGTACGCCATACCTTATAATATGATAAAAGCTCAACCCACCTTCCTTCCCCAGGTGGCACTACGTATTGCGCACTGGCAGCACTCCGATTAGCTACTAAACAACTAGACCCTCTTGATCGGCAGAAAACCGTTCGGTGGCTTGTGCAAAACCAAGCATCCAATGGCGGCTTTAGTGGAAGGACAAACAAGGACGCTGACGCATGTTATTGTTTCTGGTGCGGCGCATCGCTGCACGTAAGTTCATAGTGTCTTATGACGTCGACAGAAACTAAAACATTCCCCTTCATCAGGTGTTAGATGCAGGCGATTTAGTCGACAAGGCGAAAATGGCATCCTTTGTAGCTTTTTGCCAATTCAAGTTCGGCGGAATCGCAAAGATTCCCGGCGAGCATCCTGGTACGTCATTTTTAAACGCTTTGACTTTGCAGCAAACGCTGTCCTAGATCCCTATCACACATACCTCTCACTGGCAGCGGTGGCGCTGCTCCCGCCCGACTCGTCAGAAGGAACATCGTGGGCGCTTTGTCCTCTAGATCCTCTATTGAACGCAACATACCAGACGTCCTCGTGGGCTAGAGCTCATATTCCAGCCCTTAAAGTTGATGATGATGATGCTTTGGGTGATGCAGGCATATAAGTATGCGTTAAATTACGTTGAAGTAATAGATAGCTGGTAGGCACTCGATTATAACATTTCATCGACTATGTTCGAAGTGTTTGAATGCAACATTGCATCATGTCATTCTTGTTGAATGAGAATCGTGTATCGTTGGAAAAAGGAGAACCTCTCCTTGACTTACCTCTTCTATCAAGTGGGCCTCTCGAGGTGAAGGTCACAGAGCACATACATGCTGCAAGTGCGGCACTGAATCCATCCAGGGTGTATCAAACCCTAGTGCTTATATCAAACAGACTATTCTTATAGTCAAACCTATTCTTCATACGGCATATGATTTTATTTCAAGACACTCAGCTATCATGCGCATAGACTATAGAATAAGGCCAGATGATCCCCAAACAGATTTCACCGCAAGCGGAGGACACTCTGGCCGCCGCGCTTGCCAATCACCGATCAGAGAGATGATATTATCAGCCTGTGCAACGAACAATGCATGAGTTTTAATTCTATAAAAGCTATCCAGCAATATCGCACACACATTTATCACCCTACGGACACTGTCTTCTCGTCCAATCAGGCTTGCATTATCAGGAACCAATGCGGTGCGCTCCATGAAATGACGGGTGAATTCCTGGCGGCGTTCATGAGCATCGGCTGTTTGCCATAACTTCGGTCCGGCGCGTTTGATCATGGATTGGACGACGCGTACGTGTTCCACGCTGACCATTTCGTGCAGCAGAATCCCCAGACAATCGTGCATGATCGGTAATTGGATGAGGCCAAATGCGAACAAGTCTGCTGTGAAGCGAGAAAAATCCAATGCGATATTCCACCGTTTCATTTCGAGTTTTCGCCGCGGGGAAATAACATGCGGATTATTCTGTACGTAACAGTGAATACGCATCAGTAGAAAGATTTGCGATAGAACGCACAAGAGAACACCAGAATGATTTGAAATGTTCCAAGACCGCAGTTTGCAAATTGGCCACAAAGCAACTGGAGGCCCACTCGGAGTGATGGAGCCTCAATGCATCACGCACTTCCCGCGCAAAGAACGCCGCCTCCGGTCCAAAATCTATTATATTCGCTTTGGCTAAAATTTCCCAGCAGAAAAGTTGGGCGAGATCGCGCAATGTATCGAATGACCATGGACCTGATTGCGCCAGGACAGTCGGTAAAGCGATATTGGGTGCCAGCATGCCAGTGTCAAGTATACGCACCCATGCTACTGGTGTGTGAGCAGGTGAAGGAAAGTAGCCATACTCTACAAAGCGGCTCGGAATAAATGCCGTGGCGTTCGCGTTGAGGTCGGATGCCATGGATTGGACGCCTGGCACGGTTTCCTGAACCGATGCCTGATGAAATCCGCCATACATGAGTCTGCGAGCTTGTGCTTCGTTATCGACCAATGTCGTATTGCTGCTGCAGGGGGAGTTATTCAAGGATCGATCGGGCGTTCCAGCACTCGACTGACAGGAGAGAGTTACGTTTGGATTCTTGTAGCCTCCGAGCGAAGACGCTTCAGATTGATAGAATTTGTTCATTTGCGACATGAGTTCAACGTCAGTAATTGTTACGGCTGAAAGATGAGTGGATGAGTTGGTAGACAGGCTGAGTGGATATGTTGATTTTCGGTGGTGAGTACAGTTCCACTTTATAGGTAGGAACAGGCCACAGCCGTGTGGTTGACCTCCATCCAGGTCCTGAACAATGACTGTCAGAGGATGGTTCGACGCGTTGACATCCACAATGCTGGTATGAAGATAGCGAGGGGCAACAAAAAGCTTTGTGCACTACTGGTCCACATCAGTGTGCCGAGGCCACGCCACTGATACATTGTCCACGTTAATACTTGAGAGGAGTAATTGTAGTACTTACTTCAACTCCCGCTGATCATGATATCATCCGACATCGTTCATAAAACAGGGTTGTGGTATCATGATAGCACCTACTACTAGTAGTGTTCACGGTAACACCTTATGAACTAGTGGTCGACATGTGACCAGTGAAAATTGAAGGACCAAGCATCGGTGCGAGTGCGGAAGCATGGCCGAGCCAGCGGCATGTAACCTCTCTGCTTTGGATTCAGAAATGTATGCATTATAAGAGGTACAAAATCATTTACTCAACAGTTCTGGTCTACTGCACAAGACTTCGGTGTGTCACTATATAGTGAAATGACTTGGAGTAATTTAGTCTGTCGACTCACCAGGCGCGTGTTATAGGTAAATTTTATTCTTTACCATATCTCTGGTAGTATATCGGATAGTACACCCGCCTGTCACAGCTACTGTGCGCGGGAAAGCGGGGTTCGATTCCCCGCCAGAGAGTCTTTTGCTCATCATATCCGCATCTGATGCTGGCCTGAGAACTTTCTTTCTCTTCTGCATCTTTGAGCTGCAAACGACCACAAATTTTCTTAAATCCATCATTTTTATCGGCTGATATTCGAAGGCGATCTCGATCAATGTTAGAGCTGGAGAGCCTACGTGGCATACCGAGATACCGCCGGGATCGGGTATCACGTCATGCTGTGTTGCTGCGCGCGTTGTAGTTCTGTCTCTTCTCTTTGTTCACTACCATGGCGATTTCTGATCGTGTCGTTGGTCTTGGAGGTATCAGATTCATAATAAGAACTTTTGGTGATACGACGGATTTATTGCCACTCCAGAAATGGGAGATATTCGTGTCAATGAGAATTATGTTTGGAGCACCGGAAGTCGGCAGACTCTCGCACTGAGTCATAGTGACACCGTTGACTTCCTATTCCCGTCAGACGTTCTCGAGGAGTCAGGACGCCGAGACTTGTCTACAGCGTGCATTTCTTTCCCCTCTCAATGTCTACGTAATGACAGAATCTTAGACAAGTTACCGGGTGATTTTCGCAAGTACTGCAGAGAGACATTGTATTCAGTGACTTGCTACTGTAGACACCGTTAAATAGAAAACAGACGACCAAAGGCGTGTCCTTGTACAAATTTATAAAGCCGTGTCACATTTGGTACATTATTATAGTCCATCGTATTGAAAGCGCAGAGAGGGAGCTCTTATCGATCCTCATATGGCATTATTGGCCTCTCCTATGTACAGTACTAGTGATCCCAAAGTCAAGTCCCGAAACAAATATTACCGTGCGAGATCCCGAGCGAAATGGAAAAAGTCCACACTAGAGCTGTTAACGCCGTATTTGTAGATCTGTAAGATGAAAGTTAAGCAGCAAGAAAAGGAGATACCATTGAAACTCACGTAATGCGAAGCAACCCAGCTCGAGAATAGAGCACGTTGGTATGTTTCGGGAAGCCTCTCCAACAGGGCGTCGAGACCGACTTGATCGACTAGGGTAGTGGGTATGGCGCGTCTCATGACACCCCTGCGACTAGGTACATCATCGAACAAGTCAGAGAGTTCAAGCTCTGCCTGCAAGTTATTGAGCCTGATGGACAATTCGTCCGAGATCTGCGTTCGGGGCTTAGCGCCTTGGAGGCGGGCGTGCTCGCGCCAAATACAGTGGAACTCCGCTGCGGCATTTTCCGAAATCTTTTCTTGAATCTCTTTGACGTATTTTTGGTAGAAATCTGAAGGCTTGGCGTCCTTGAAGATCATGAGGTCTAGGTATTCCTGAGTCGCGAGGGCAAGACCGGCGAGCACTTCAAGCGAGGAACTTGTCACACCGCCTGAAGCAAGGTCAAAACCATATAATAGATTATAAAAAAGCAATCTCACCCTTGTTCGCACTAGAGTCCTTGAACAAGACAACCTTGCGTTTCTCCAAGTGTAACCTTGCCTGCTGCGTGAAGAACAAATTTGCACCCTCGACAATGTACTTGAAGTGGGGTTTGCCTTCTGTATCCGTCAAAGCAGCAACATTAGAAACGTTCACGGCTTCAGGACTGAATGATCGTGAGCTGATGTTTCGTGCAGGTGGTGACGCAAACATACCGTCCACCGCAAGGCACAAAAAGGTCTGCCTTGAAACGGAAGTGAGCACCATTCCTGAAGTCGGTACCGTCCAGAACGATTTCACCGGCTAGAACAGCATGTGAGATAACAATGAAATTTGAGAAAGCTGAACATACAGGGTAGTCTGACGTCCTGTTCCTCGACCTTGACGAGGTACCCATCCTTGCTCAGCTTGGTCTTGTCAAAGTGAGCGACGGTCAGGCGACATTTGGCGAGACGGATGAGCTCCTCCCTATTGATACCTGCAGGGTCGGCAAGGACACCACTGCCATCGATGATAGCAATGGTCTTGTCGGAACTCAAGAGTATCTCGTTTGAACCAAGATCCCCGTCTGCAAAGTGTCAAGGACAACTTCCAAAGAGTAAGAGGCGCAAACGTACCAGGACCACCGGTTTGAACTTTTGTGATGTCTTTCTCCCTCAGTCCAAGCTGCTTGTAAATGCCAAGTACATATTGACGAATGGACAGCGACGTCATTCCATATGTATCATGGGGAATACCACCCAAAAGCTGGGCACTCTTGCCGGTGGTAAATGACTTCCACCATGTCTCGGCACCACGATCGCGAGCGTGCAATGCTGCCCAATCCATCATGTCTGCTGTGCCCTCTTTACCAGATGTCAGTCGCCTCCATGGTATATCAGATACGCAACCTTACCATCAGGGCCGAAGAACAGTAACTCTGGCTTTCCATACAAGTCAACCAGAGGTTCCTTAATCCCTGGAGTTTGGCCAGGGATAAGCAGGTCGATGATAGCCTAATTGGATGATTAATACCCATCCATTGATGCGTAATTGCGCACTTACATCGACATATTTCTCGAAGCAGCGTCTTGGTGGCGCTCCAAGACTACGTGAAAGGTACATAAAAATGCAAAGATGGGAAGTGAAATAACGCACGAAGGCAAAATAGTACCCTTGGCTCCTCCTTCCGGAATATCCTTATTTTTCAAAGATTGAGTGGCAGCTAATCCGTAGTTTTCATCGAACAACATCCTCTGGTTGATAGAATAGTTTCTGGTTGCATAGAGCTCAGCTGCACGATTCCGAAGTCTAGAAAAGGTACACGTACTCCTTGTTCCGCGACCTGACGATTCGAATACCCCCGCGGGCAACATCTCTGAAGCGGATGTGGAAGCCGCGGAATTCATTTCCGATGATGATGAACATTCCGAAAGGTTTGTTTGGATATTCGATCTCGGGCAAAAATTCAGGGGCGAGACGGAACGACAGTGCGACCTTGGTGGGTTGATAAAAGTTCGTCTTCAAAATGTGCCTACGAAAAGTTCAGCTACCGATCAATCATTCACTTTGAGACCCACTTGTTGAAAATGAGGAAACTCTCGAGAACTTGGAGATCCTGCTTGTTCAAGACTGTACGTCTGATTTTATCGTACAACTCAGAGTCAGAGAGAGGCTGGGTGGTTTGAAGACGCTGGTATGAGAGAGTAGGACTGGGCGCGTCTCGTCAAAGTCACCCAAGACAAATACATTAGCAGACTCACCCGAGCTGTGATGCCTCATCTGCAGCCGGATAATGTACCATGGCGAAGTTGACATAGAGGAGACGAATCTGTTGGAAAGAATTAAATTGACATCTCGAGTGAAACTGGCAACGCACGATTTCCGCGTGTGCATGGATAACTTGAGCAATACTCTCCCGCGTGAAAGTTTCCTCCCTGAAGCGTCTCTTGATATCATTGAGAACTTCGGCGTGTGAGGGGTTTGATTCGTCCAGAATATTCTTGAGGTGGAGGTACGCGGGACCCAGGCGATTGCAGAAGTGTTGAGCGAAAACCCAACCACAATCTAATGAACAATTAACTCGATTCCTGTCTCAGAAATGTTGAGCATACATGCATAGGTCGCCTCTTGCACAGCATGTCCAGAGTTGACAGAATCAAGGAAAAAGGGGTTGTCTGGAAGACAGTACAGAAGAGATGCTTCTTTCATCACCTGGAATATGGAGTGCTCGATCGGCGGGCCGGTTGAGTTGGGCATCGGATTCAGGTATAGAGAGATTATCGTGATTCCATTGGAGAACTGTTCTACATACTTGCGGGCCGAGTACAGCTGGTAAAAGTGATAGAGGTTCGATAGAGCGCTGAAAATGAGTGTAAGGCTACCGTACTATAACATAAATAGGTCAACATACCTAAAGAAACGGGAAGTGCCGCCCATCTTGTATCCGATGACAAGACGCCTCTCACGAGTGCCTTCGACTTCAAATACTTCCATGACAGGACCGTAGCGGCTCTCGACTTGCCACATGATTTTCTGGTACACTTCAAGAGTATGCGGGCTCGCCTTCTCAAGGAAAGCGGTATCGGAGACCGTACGGATATCGGTAAGTCCATCAGTCCGAGTTGAGGGGGGTGGTGGAGAAGGGAAGTTGCACTTGGTGATGAAGTAACAGCGCAGTTGTTGAGATGCTGTCGCCGATATGGATCCCGTGGATCGGAAAGTCTCAAGGCGGTAACAATTCGAAGGAGTTGAGTTGTCGAGGTATAAAGAGTCGATTCTGTGTCAGGTACAAAATTGGCATAGCGATTGTGAGCCGCATCAGACAAACATACCTGGATTCACAGGTAGCCCCAGGCCCTTCGGTAGAAGTCAGACCCGGTAAACTGGTGTGGATGAAAGTCGCCCCATTTCCTTTCTCGTCAATCCTCTCGAGGTCGATGACGAGCTTGTTGAGATCGTGCTTAGTATAGGCAAGTACCTTGGCACCAAAGAGCGCGATGATGTGATCAGATATTACAGAAGGGGATTCATTTTGAAAGTAGGTGTCATCGATACCGAGCTGAGAATAGAACCAGTTGACTTCGTTTGCAGCCAGCTCGCGAGGAATGAAACCCTATGGATGTGGCGCCAATATTAATGCTTACTGTGACTGAGAGATGGAGGATTGCATCACCTTGGCAGCGACATCTGCTTGCACTTTGGCACGTTGTTCTTCCTTGCCTTTGAAGACTGGGGTAGTATAGCCAGGCAGGTTCTTGACGCGCTGCAAGGATGCCTCACTACTAGCCCTGGAGCTAGCAGCAGAAAGACCGTTGAGGTTGTTTGGGAGAACTCCTAGAAGCTGGGACGGCGTCGACGACATCGTCTAGCAGTGATTATAGAGGTCTATAGGAAATCTACAGGTAAGTCGCGTCTACTTTAACCAAGAATCGATTGATGCAGTGAATCGGAGGACAACAATGGTTTGAATAGTGCCAAGAATCCACCTCGTATTTATACAGATTTACGGACCATAACTCAAGCTCTTCTGTGTACGGATCTTAGGCTTGTCAAAGTATAATCTGATATGTAAGTCAAAATAGTGGCAAATAAAGAAAAAAAATAAGGAACAATTCGGAAAAGGTC